TCTCTCCTCTGTTGCCTCAGGACTTGCCAGGAGGTTTCGATTCTTCATGCCCACCTATATAGCTCACATAACTTAGTACATGATGACGACTTAAATGGTGACCCTCTGAATGTAACACTCTTATGCAGTGCACAACCTGAACATCAGGACACAGCAACACTCACATCTACGAAGCAATCCCTGTGGGGACAGGGTTAGGATGGGTGGGAATGAGATGTTATAAAAGGCAAATCTTATCTTTACATTTTTAAGAATCATCTTAACTGAGCTCCTAAAATCCCTCTGTGACTACAACTTTCCCATTAAGACGCAGAAGACTGGCTCATTCTGGACAGTGTGACCTTTCTTTGAATTATTAAATAATGCTTGCCACATCTCTTTCACATAACAATTCGGCTAGATCTGATCTGTGGGTTATGAAAGTCACAAGCTTGGCTATTTTGTGTTATAGACAACAAGAATAAAACATTCTGAAATGTAATTAATGTAATTTAGCTTCCTGAATCACACAGGAGGCTGGGCTGGGAGACAGGGAAGGCACAGCTATGGGTGCCCCCTTCAGCTGTTCAAGTTGGGCACAAATCAGAAGAACAGAGGACCCATGCTGGGCCCAAGAAGCTGCATCCTAGGTGTGGAGACCAGGCCCAGAAACCTTCTCCAGGGCAGGATGCTTCTCCACCCTGCCCATGGGCTGGAATCTCCCAGGGAGCTTGCCCCAGCCAGACCAATGACACCCAAACTGCTGGGAATGGGACCTGGGCACCAGTATTGTTGATCCCATTGCGCAACCAGGGTTGGGAAGTCAGGAGTATCATTATGTTGCTGGGGTTCAGAGAATTGCATAGGTTTCAAGAGTTGGGTGGGAACTGACGGATTGCATCAAAATTCTCACATAGCACTTCTGGGAGGGGCAGCCTGCATTTTTGAGATGGCTGGGGGAGATTAAGATACTGCCCATGACCTCTGAGATGACAAATATTTGCAACTGAAGATCACAATCTACCAATCTCCATCTGAGATAGCAAACCACATCCCCTCACCACGTCCCCAACACGCACCCTGGATTTTCACACCTTTTAAATAGCTTGCCATCATTTGAAAATGAAGAGGTCTCACATTTTTAAGTCCTCTAGTTCCAATTTCTCCTGGGAAAAAATAATCAGTGGAGATGATAATCCTGGGTCTCTGTCTCTAAGTGACAATTGGCTGAAGCCAAGTGGTGGCTGCCTCTTAAAACGGGCTTCCAGCCAGCAGCATAGCCCTGTGGTGCTTGCCAGAGAAGCTTTGAAAGTCATTAAGTTGTGTAGGCTTGCCCTGATCCTTCCTTCGAACAAGGTTATAGACACTTGTGTGTCCCTTCCTGAGTCACTTAGATTGTCATCTTGATTTGTCCAATATTGTAGCCACTTGCCACCTGAGCGCTTGAAATATGGTATTTAGTATGAATGAGGAGCTGAATTTTTAACTCCTTCCTTCCTTCCTTTCTTCCTTCCTTCCTCCTTTCCTTTCCTTTCCTTTCCTTTCCTTTCCTTTCCTTTCCTTTCCTTTCCTTTCCTTTCCTTTCTTTTCCCTTTCTTTTCTTGCATTTTGAGACAGAATCTCACTCTTTTTCCCAGGTTGGAGTGCAGTGGTGCAATCTCAGCTCACTGAAACCTCTGCCTCTTGGGTTTAAGTGATTCTCCTGCCTCAGGCTCCCGGCTGGGATTACAGGCACCTTCCACCACGCCCAGCTAATTTTTGTATTTTTAGTACAGACAGGGTTTCTCCATGTTGGCCAGGCTGGTATCAAACTCCCAACCTCAGGTGATCTGCCCTCCTCGGCCTCCCAAAGTGCTGGGATTACAGGTGTGAGCCACCGTGCCCAGCCAACTTTATTTAATTTTAACTAATTTAAATTTAAAACTAGATACTTGTTTCATTTACTGGAAAAGGCCTAAATATGTTTAGAATAACTTGGGTACACAAATCTACTTTTCCAACTGTATGTTTTATGAACTCGAAATATACGTTAAGGAGTTCTGATGAAAATTTAGCATCCTATCGGAGATTGCTGGAAATGAAAAATACACACTGGATTTTGAAGACTTCATATTTGAAAATGTAAAATATCTCATTAATGTTTTCTATTGATTACATGTGAACATATTCTGGACGTATTGGGTTAAATAAAATGTTGTTTTTATTAAAATAACATTAAGTATTAATGTCATTAATTTGATCATATTAAA